TGCCATCCTTGGGGTGCTCCCCATACTCCCAACTTCAAAAAAAAATTGAACGTTTCAAAATATCCTTCGAAAGTTTGTGAATGTTCACAAGAAATGTAACTACAAGCCCTAAAAATTTCAGATCTAAACTCTAAAATTTGAGAAACGGAAATGTGAAATCTAGCATGAATAGTGTCATAAAAAGACAAAAGCAACATTTGACACTTTCCTGATGAGCATTCACATTTTTTCTGAAATTTTTTGATACATTTAAAATTGATGTTCTGAAGTTGGAGCATGAGGAGCACCTCGAGGATGGGAGCAGTGGCGGAGCCAGCGCCCGGCCACCCCGGGCACTTGCCCGGGCTCACTGGCCACGGGACAGCATACAGACGTGCTAAACAATGGGACAAAATCTGCTATGCGTCGTGGTTTGCCCGGGCAGCAGTGTACGTGTATACGTGATAAACAATGGGCTTCTTCTTCCAGCCATCCAGTTAGTATAAGCTAATTAACTAGGCCTACCAAGCGCAGTCCGCATAGTGTTCAGTCATGGGCCACTATTCCTTCTTCCAAACAATTACTCCATAGGAAACGAGCAGTCACAGCCCTGTTTGGCACGACGGCACTTCGGCTCCTCGTTTCTCACGTAGACAACCGGCGGCAAGCAAATTCGGACTTCCGGAGGCTGCCCTAGGCGCACGGCCGACGGTGGGCGGAGCGGATCCATCTCTAGGAATGGTTTATATTCTCATGTCCGGTGCCCATTCTCGTGATTAGCTAATATTGCAAACTAATTTGAAGATTGATAGATTTAGGGCTAAATTTTGAGGTCAGGCGGTGGGGCATTTGCCTCGGAGTATATGTCTGTCTTGTTCTTACAAGCTCTTTATGTTGAACATGTTCACAACTCACAACACTTAATTTGTAAAATAAAAATCATTTTTTATCTTGTATAGTGTCCCCTAGTTTGTCTGGATCCTAATTTTCATAGGTTTGTTTTTGCCGGTAACACGATACGTCTAGTTCTGTGCATGGCCTTGTTGTATGACTTATGTTGTCACATGACAATATCTGGTACTCCTGGAACGGTTTGGCGAGAGCCTTCTCCATGACACTTGGCAAAGGGCAACACATGGCATGACCTGGGAGAGCCCTTCAACGAAAGCTGTTTGAGGAGTGTCATCGAGGGGGTACTTGGCAAACCTACGAACGTTTTGCCGAAGGTGGTACCCGGTAAATGTCAAAGACACATGGCGCCTTCCAATTGAACCATCTTCGCGGTAGGTGCTTGAAAAACCTATAGACGCTTTGCCGATGAGGACACTTGGCAAACATTGAGGACGTGTGCCGCCATTTAGTTGTATTGTCTTCGCCTACTCAGCAAACAGAAAATGCCATGTGGCAGGCGCCGTATCCGCCGATTGGCCGTCAACCTACTTTATTTTGACGAGTAACTCATTTTGACACTTGGTAAAGTCTTTGCCAAGTATCTGAGGGAAGGAACACAGTGAAGCTCTCTTTGTCGAAAGGGGGTATGCCGAGTAGAATTTGACATGTGTCACACTCAGCTGGTTGCCGAGATGATACCGGCCTTCGCCGATTACTTTAGTATTCGAAAAAGAACCGGATTTCAGTAGTGTAGAAAATCGAAAATTGATGTATCATATTATAGTATCTCACCTTAAAAATACGTTTGCATGACTACTATGTTCATATTTTCACTTCATTATTACTGTGGATTTGTATTTCCGAAGTTTGGGGCTATTTTACATATTGTGTATCAAAACACTAGATATTTATTTTGAAATTAGACAATTAGGTCAAGCTTGC